TAAAAATGTAAATACATAAGATTTTGTGGTATTTATGTAGTTTTTTTTTTTCTAAAAAAAGATAGCAATGGTGTCACCGATGTCATAACTCAATCTGTATTATAATGTCGTGGAGGCAATGACCCAAAGGAATGATGATCCTCACTGGGGAGAATCATAGAACTGGGATGAGTGTATGAATGGACACTTAAAACGCAACTCGAGCATGCAAAACATCATACAAGCAAAACTAATGCACATGCAAAATATACACTATTTGAATGATTAGTTGACCGGGTAGGGGCGGCCGGTCGAGGCAATGTGTTATGTCGACCGGGACGGGGCTACAGGTCGAGGCAATATGCTATGTCGACCAAGCCCGGGTGGCCGACCAAAGCAACATGTTATGTCAAATAGACTGGGGCGATCGGTCAAGGCACTGCACTATGTCGATCGGGTCGGGGAAACCCGTCAAGGCAACGTGCTATGCTGACCAGGCCATGATGGTCACTCGAGGCAATGTGCAGGTGCAACTTGCTTCATGCAAAACACATATTGTGACATAATACGTCATGCAATGTCAATAATCGCGATCAATAGCGAACCACACTCATCTAACGTTCTTGCATATGCATATAGGGTTTAGCGCTTGGATACACGTCAAGGATGCCTTGCCAAGAAAGTGTGAAGAACTTCACCTTTCGATTTCTCATAGGAGAAGTCCTTCACCGTTCATAGGGCAGACTAGCTACAGAGTTTTTTCTATCATATAAACCTCTTACTTTCTTGTAGAATGGGCTAGCTACAAAGCTTTTCTCATTCTTCAGGATCGAACTATCCCAACCCCTCTAAGGAAAATTGAAAGTTTTAAAGCTGTGGGAAATTGTGATTCTGACCCACTAGGATTTAGGTTTAAGGATTATGGTGGATCACTCGGCTTCGCGAAGGGATTTGGCTATGCATGTGATCCATAACCTAAGGCATCCTCTAGGAAAACAAATGGCCAATCAATGGGATATGGTCGTGACAACTAGTGTCGGTCAGCCACTCGCCTAGCCGTTAGGAGACCAAAAAGAATTGCAATGACACCTAGTGCTAGCTAGGGAAGAAAACACAAGGGTTTAGAAGGTTATTCCATCGTAGTGGTTGTGGATGTGTTTATTCAAGTGGGATGAAGCTCTTCTAATGGTAGAAGAAAAGCCCACACAAGTCCTTCTCCAAAGAAATGAGGAAGCTCTCCTTGCCAGAGAGAACGTCGAAGCTCGGCGAATTTCATCTCCATCGATGGAAGATGAAGCTCTCCTTCCAAAGGAGAGGCCGTCAGCTTGCCAGGGTCGCCCTGTCCTCATGTTAGGATAAAGATTTCCTAGCTATACTCCTTGGAAAGTCGTTAGAGAAGGACGAGGTCTCTGAAGAAGAAGTAGTAGGGAGATAACCAACTCCTTAGCTCTCTCCTTGAGGAAGAAAAAGTGTCTTCCTCAATGCCCTTGCTCCAAGCTCTAAAATCCAAGAGGATGAAACCTCTTGAGGAAGAAGATAGTGTTCTTCCTCTAACACTCTCAAGCTCTCCAAATGCTCTTCACTTCAAGGGTTTTCCTTAGCTCCCAAGAGAAAACTTTATCTCCAATCTTCAAACTCCAAGGGAAGAAAATGACCCAAGGAAGAAAAAGAGTTCTCAACCCTTGGAGGAGGCCCAATGCTGAGAATGAGTGGATATTGGTGAAATGAGGGGGAGAGAAGAGCATAAACTAGTTCTCCAAAAATCCCCCCCAAATTTGCCAAAAATAGCATACTCCATCCTCCTAGAACCTTCCAAAAAGAGGCCAAAAAGGCTCCATCCACGGCTTTTTCTCCTCGCTATGCATATCTACATACAACACAAGAAATATGGGGGTGTACCGGGTGAGAAATCCAAGAAAACAAGGAACAGAAATGTCCTGGCACCTAGGTGCGGTGATCCTAGCGCCTAGAGCTGGGTCTGACTCTTTAGTGTTGGGTGTCTGGCGCCAAGGCGCTGGGGGCTAACGCCTAGGCCCCAGCAGGCTGGAGCCTACTTTCCAGGCTCTCGGTTTGAAAACAATGCATTTCGGGTTGCTCCAGGCACCTACTTTTCAAAAGCTGACGCCTAGGCGCTGGAGTTAGGGGCTGGCATCTACTTTCTAAGCTCTTGATTTGGAGAGACTAGAGGTTGTTATGGGCGCTTAGGTACCAGGGGCTGGCGTCAGGGCAGTAGTCTAACTCGAAAATTCTGTTTTTCACTGAAAAACATTTGACAAAAAAATTTTTCGATCCGAAAGCAATGGGAGACTTCATATGAGTGAATTATGATCCCCTAAAATCAAAAATATGTATTTTTATTGGTCATTTATTAGGGAAATCGTCACTAACTGTCGCCTCATATCACGATGCGGGTAGGGTGCTCCAAACCCTAATTTTTGTCTGGTTGACCTTAGGAAGATCCTCGTTGATTTGGAACCCACGGAACATTATGTATTGCTAGAATACAACCCCATCACTTAAAAATGAACATTATAAGAGTTTTAAATTGAGGTTTTTTTTTTTTTTTGTGCTGACGGGCGTCCTAGCCTCTCGCGAGGGTAAAATTGGTTCGGACCCAAATTTCTCCAAAATGTCTGTGGAGAACCTTGACAACTACCCTTGGCCTCAAAAGAGGCTGGATTGATGGAGTCGGGTTTCTCAACATCGGAACGAACGTAAAACACGTCTGGAGTCAATGCTAACCCCGCCTTATGGTGAATTTTTCTAGGTAGGGTCGACTCATTATCAGTCCTGATTATATGCTCGGGGCACGTACTAGCAGGTCTGATCAGATGTCTTGACGACGGGAAGCTAGACACAATCCCGTGTAATTTAAATAGACACCCCATCCACACGACATCAAAAATTGAAGCCAACACATATACTATATCTGATGTTCGCAATCATTCATGAAACTGACGTCTATTGAGTTATTTTTATTAGATAGGTGGTTATATTAACTACCCAACATTAAAAAAAAAAAGACAAAAAAGACCCTCTAACAGTTGAGATAAAGAGGAATAATACTGTAATTGTAAGCTCGAGTCACCTCTGATTATCAATAGGTGTTGTTTTACGAATAAGGCGTTGCACACTCATTTTTCCCAAAATTCACGTCATCATTTTTCATCTTTCTAATCTCTTCTCTCACTCTCAACTCTCCGGGCATGCCAACTACAACAATTTAGCATTTAACAGCACATAAAGTTTTCATAAATTAAATAAAAATAATAAAATCAATTTAAATATTAAAATAAAAGTTTTATGTTCCACTTCTAGGTAGATCACCTTCTAAGTGTCTTTTCCATGGACATGTAACCTTGGACCAGTAACCTAATGCTAAGAAATTATGTAGTACTAAATCTAAACAAATCAAAGTTGTCTCTTTTTGACAATTGGCACATAGAAATACATAAATGTCTTATCAATTTAAAAAAAAAAATTAAAATATACGCACTGAGTATTATTATTAATATTATTTTAATATAATGAAAATTTGTTTTGTTTTGTCATATATTGAAAGGGTTTGTGGGCAGCTCACTTTGATTCAGACTAAATAAATTTTTATTTTAGTCCAATTCAACACATTAAGAATGGTTCTTAAACTAATGATAAGATGTCAAAAGAGCCCCCAAACCCTTTCCAAAACTCACAATTTTAATCTACTGATTAACTCTATCACTATTGGATTATTGTATCATCTTCGTTGCATGTATGATTGACCATTAATGTTCTAAATATCAACATGTTGCCATTTGCTAGATCTCAAATTATGGCTATTGTCATATACATTTTTTTTTTGGTAGACTTGCATTTGCACTTGTTTGAAAATAGTTATAGTGAAATACAAATATTTAATTGCATGTAAGATGGTATTTTAGTCCAAATTGAAGTCAACCATGTGTGCATCACCCAATGAAGTGAGTAAAAAGAAAAAAAAATGGCTTGAAGTGAACTCATGTAGGAGGGTCGAACGAAGGTTAGCTGAGATATTCCCCACGGATAAGCCCGTCTCAATAACTTTAAAAGGATATGTTGTAGGGGTCATTTAATTATTTAATGGTATTCTTACTTGCATGCCGCTTGTAGGGTTGAGATTGTCATTAATTAGCAAGACAATTTTTAGATGGTATGTTAGGATTTTTTATTTAAGTCGACAAGGGAATTGAGGGCAATTGGAGTAGGTCGCTGAAGGGGCTATAACCACATGGGTTCTACGACCCTTATGCATACTCTAAGAGCCACAAAGTACAAACTAGAAAATGATCCGCTAAGTCATATTTGGTCAATATGCTCTAAATGACATAATAGAGCTTATCTCAAGATAATCATCTAAGTCTAACTATGATTAAGCATGACTAATCCTTTAGAGTCTTGAACACTAGAGAACATTATAAGTTGATTGTGGGCAAGCTATTTGATGTTTTAGCTTATCCAAATAGCACACCAAGTCACCAAAAGTTCACGGAATCATAGGATCTTAAACCTTAGTAACATTAAGGATAATCATCTTTGACCAATATAATGTAGTTTTCAACTAACACAATTATCACTTGATGCCCATCATAGTTTGACACATTCCATCACCATTGACATAGCTTGGCACCTCCATCAATCTCAATACCTTTGAACGCCTACCTCCAAGATAGAAAACTCCCCACTCGCTTTATATCTCTATACACTAATATAGAATAAGTACGACTTCATAATCTCAAACTAAACCTAATGGAACTATTTCAACCCACTAATCTGCACATACTCTCTTAATCTTGGGGACTTTACATCGCATTTAACCTTCAAGATTGTATATCAAACACTCATTTAAATTTAAGATAACAAATTTTCTTTATTATCATAATACAAAAAAATTTCTTTTTTGAATTATCAGACAATTTTTACTAATAGAAATCAAATAGCAAATCAAAATACATTATTGTTACAAATAAGATTAGACTTGAAACAAAAGCAAAATGAAGACCAAATAGAATAAAATTTTGCACTTAGCTTCAACATTTCATCTTGCACAAACACATGATCCTATCAAGTGCAAGGAAAAATCCAAGCCTTATTTGTGCTTGAATTAACTACTAAAACTGATCAAAGCAACTCTAACCCATCACAGAGGAACCATGAACAAGTTATTCTTTTCATAAAAAAACTAAAGAAAAAAAAAACTCCATAATTTGATTCATAGTTCTTCAGTTCCTCACTATTTTCTTGGGTTGAGGCCTCACAGTCTGATAAGAGAATCCTGATGATGCTGCTCCAGCGGCGGAAAGCAGATAAGGAGAGCTACTTGCAGTGAAAGCAGCAGCTGCCGGCCACACTGGATTCCGCCGCCGGTTACAGAAACGGGCGGCCTTCGAGGCTGCTCTCCGCCGCCAACAGATAGAGAGAATCTTCCTAAACCTCCATCTCTACTTCTAATTCCATGGCTGCTGCTTGGAAACTGCATTTAAATTTATTCAGGTGATCAGATTATGCATACTCATCAAGAAAAGTTTCCAAATTTATTTCTTTTTACAGATTACCCACTTGCTGATGGCCATTGATTTCGAGCCGATTAGCCTGAAAAACTGGATTTTTAACATATACGCTGCTTAGGGGATGATGATTGGTTCCATACTGTTCTTCTTCAGGCAATTTAGGCTTTCCATCATACTACACAAGGAATAAACTATTCGAACTTAGTTATGTTTTTAAATCTGTTTTCACAGAAGGTTGAACAAAAGAAGATTGTTATACCTTGGCACTAGTGTTTCTGATCCATTCAGATTCATAATTCATTGGAATCCTCTGATCCATGACCATCAGCCCGTCATCTTCAATCGGTTCAAGGCGACTCCTTTTCGAGCCGAAGCCCCCCAAAGTTAGATCCAAATTATGTTCAGCTTCCACATCTGTTATAAGTTTTCAATAAAAAAAAAAGAAAAAATAAAAAAAAAAGAAAAAAGAAAAGTTTTATGTAATTGAATGAATCTCACACTTTGTTTGAACTAATTCAAATCAGATACAGACCTTCAGACTTGAGCTCTTCTTCGTATATTCTTGGATCGAAATTGGTCAATGCATCCCTCCCATTGAGCTTGATTGCAGCTTTATCATAAGCCCTGCAATTCAGAAAGACAACAAGGATTTATACAGGAGAAATATAAGTTTAAGATTCTGAAAATGCATTATGGTTTAGTATTTCATACCTAGCAGCTTCAACTTCTGTATCAAATAAGCCCAGATAGACATATCTGATATCAGAAGAAGGATTCGAAAGCTCAGATTGGAATAAGACTGAAAAGAAATTATAAGAATCTGAGAATGAAATGAAACCTACTTCTTGCCTAAGAGCTGGCCTATTCTGGCCTCCCATCTCCCACATTTGTGGAGAGTAACTCCCCTAAACTTGGAGCTTCCTCTTGGAAATCCTGTACTTTGCCTTCGAAGAAGATGAACAAATTCCTCTTTTGTCAGATCGCCCATCTGCTTCAGTTCATCCTCATAGTCACTCAGGGTAAAGTTTATGTCGGCTTCAGTACCTCGAAACTTAATGGCTGCTCTGTCATATGCTCTGCAATTAAAACATTAAAACAATATTGAGTTTAATCAAAAACTTCAAATTTTATAAGGAAGAATTAAGAGAATACAGGTTTTTTTAAAAAAAAATCTTTAGGCTTCAAAGAACAAGAAGGAAGAGGGTTACTACCTTGCAGCAGCATGAGCTGTGTCGAATCCTCCTGTAATAAACAATTGCCAAGATGAAAATTTTCTGAATTAAAGAATCGAAAAACGTATTTTTTGTCAAAATTTGTGAATATAATTCTTACCTAAATAAACTTGTTTGCCACAATCCCTGAAAAAAACAATATCAAGAGGATAATGAGCGAATATCTTTCAAGAAAGTCAAAATGGAAAATATTCATCAATTTTTTTTTCTTTTTTCTTCTAGTACTGTGGAAGAAGGGAAAGTGAAAAAGGAATACCAGATGTGGGATTCCCAACGGCCGGTTCTCCGGTAGAAGGTAACACCACGGTACTGTGAGCTCCGTGACCTTGGGCCCCGCCTGCTCTTCTTTATTGGCTGTGAGACCATCATGGTCTTCACAACGCCGCCGGCCATGGCCGGCTCCGAAAGTTTCAATCCGAACCAGTTGTTCTTCTCGGCCGGCACACCGCCGGCAGTTAAAGAAAGGAATGGTATCTCCGGCTGCCGTTCTCCGATCGGGAAGAACTGGTGGGTTACTACAGGCTCGCTTGAGTAACTTTCCTCTAGGCCAAAGAAGTCCTCGAAGCCGGCACCACCGTTCGAGTGCTCTATCACCACGGTGGAGGAGCTGGAGTTTTCAGCAGACCCCGATCCGCCTGAAGAGATCTCCTCCACTTGAGATATCACAGCTTTCACCTCTTCCGGCGAACCATTTAAATCCCACATCTCTCACCAATTCAGTAATAAAAATCCAATCTTTTTTTCCCTCCGGCGAACTTCACAGACAAAAAGCCGGCCGTCTTCTTCAGCCAAAACTCGTGGGCAAGCTTCCTCCTTTCTCCCCTTTCCCTCCTGAACCAGGGCGAAAAATCTCAAAAGAGAAATCCTATATACCAGCAGCGAGCGAAACAGGAGGAAGAGATCTTCTCCGCCTTTATCTCTACCGTTATCCTTTCCTTCTTCAAGAACCAACCTTCGTCCCCACTCTCCCCTGCTCTGCTTTCCTCTTATAATGGTGGCAGAGAGGAGACAGAGATGATTGAAGAAGAAGATGAAGAGGTGGGCATATAAAGTTCCTCTTCCCACGTTAACCAAATCGAAAAGGATAATCTATGCGTCGGTTTGCTCTAAGAGTTTCACCACTAAACTTGAAAGAGACCGCTGCCCCTCTGTCTAATTTGACCCATTAAGCTCCAAACTAATATTAAATTAATATGAGAAAAAAATATTAAAATATCATAATAAAATTAATTAGAGGATGAAATTTAGGTTTTATTGAACTTAATTAGTTATTAATATTAAATATGAATTAAATCTAACTACTATTAAGTCCATCCTAATACAAATTTTTACGTTTATACCAATAAGAATAGGCTTCCTACCTTTGTCCTGTAGTTACAGTAACAATTACTGTAACTACCCTCGTTACGGAGAAAACGAGGTAGAGAGAGAAAAAGGGGGAGAGAGAAAGTAATATTATAATTAGAACATTTACTTATTTTTCTATATTTATATATCTAACCTTAATAATTTACTTTTTATTATTTACTGCTAGGGCTGTCAAAAAAAAGCTAGTTGTTCGCGAACAGCTTGTGTTCGGTTTGTTAGTGAATTCATATTCGATTCGTTCAATAAGTAAGTGAGACAAACGTAAACAAATTTTTTT